ACTTACCTACGCGCCGCATTGCGATAGCGCCTTGTTTTCGGGTATCGCAAATCGACATTCCCATGCGTACAATGCCTGCCCGCGTGCAATGGACGATAAGTACGCGCGCGGTGTTTGTGCTTCTAGACGTCGGCGTGCATGTGCAGGCGAGAGAGTATGGAATCTCAGCGTGGGACCGTCGCGCAACGGCGTCAAGGTGTACTTTTAATGGCCACCCTCTTTTTTATCAAGTGCGTGTGTACCCGCTTTGATTATTGTTATTCAACTCGTGACTCATGACGTTTCAAGACGCATTCATACGATTAATTATAGTTTTTACGCGTAGAGCCATTAAATAATTTCATGGTACCGTTTTTAACTCCCGGATCTCTTTGTGGATCAAATTCGAAACAAAATCAAAGCAAATTTATTTGTTTTTGATTTGATATTTTAGAGTTACTCAAATTTAAGTTGTGCTTGGCTTTAGTGTTTATGAATTTGAATATGTTTGCTTGGCATACGCGTGTCCTTAGAAAATTTTCTTTTTAATTTTTATTCTCGAAAGAATTGCGCTCCCCAAGCGCGGCATTCATTTCATCCCTTGTGCGGGACGTGTACGTACCCCAGCATCACCTGTTTGCAATCAAGGCTGAACAGCTGAACATTCAAGCCAAGAACGCAAGCAAGACTGACTCCTCAGGGCGCGCGACAAAGGGCAATTCCACGACGATTCGATTCTATAGCGTGAATGCGAAATAAATGCTCGAAAGCTCGTGCGAGGTCAAGCGTATGTGCATACATCTCACGTGCGCGCCCGAGATATCAATGCTATCAAAGAATCCTAATCATAATCGTCCACTTAACACATGATGTAAATGTGTAAAGTGGATGTATTAATCATTGATATAGGAAAATGAATGTTTTCGGATTACTTTCGTTATAAATACGTAGGAATTGGTATCTAAGCAGATTAAATCAATAAATCGACTAATCTGCAATGGAGACTTAGTCGCAAACGCAATAATTTTATTATTCGCCGATTTGCATTTCCGTTTTTAAGCGGCGCAAAGATGTGGCGATAAATCGCGCACGCAATCACCACCACGCCGATGATTGGTATTGGTATCTTTATTTCGAATTCCGATAAATATTATGCAAATATCTAGATATGCACTTGATTAACTTGATATCTCGAAAGTGGGTATTGATTTAAATCCGTCGAACAGATTTGCAGAATGTTCGTTATAGTATTTATAAAAAAAAAATTGGTGACATCTTGTGGAAATGTGAGTTTTCGTGTCAGGCGATTAGAATAAATTAGAATAAAGTTGAATTTGATTGCGGAATAAATCGACGCGAAAGCAGGCGAGTGGCGAGAGCGCGCGGACGCTCGAAGGAGTCCCAATCTGCAAGAAGATGACAAATAGCCGCGCCGGTTTCTTTACAAGCCGAGCGGCTCGTAAATCGCAGATTTACTACCAATCATTAATTCCTCGGCGATAAATTAAAGCGCGCCGGCCGAAACCTCTCGCGAGCGCATGGAAAGCGGCACCGGGGATCGCTTAGGCTTCGGCTTTTGTGCCGTCGTGTAAGTAATTTGCAGCCCGAGCAAGCAAAACGCACACACTGCACAAACACGACGGCCGTGTATTGATTCTTCCAAAGCGAACAAGAAACACAAAATAAAAATCACGAAGGTGGTTACCCATTGTGCGTTGGCAACTACTTAACCTAACATAACCTCACATAATACTGTAGCTTTTTTTTTTACTTTCTATCCTTGTATTACTCTATTTTGTTTCGGACTTCCATTCTAACGATGCCAATTGCCATTGGAATCGAACGCACGGGAAGTGATAACTTTGATGCAGAACTAGGTAGTGAGGATAGCGAGGAGGTTGTGTAGCGTGGAGCGTTTTATATCTGATCGGGCGATTAGAGAACGCGAACTACACATGTTTGGAGCGACGTGAGATATTACATGCTGCGTACACCAACGGAACGAACTGGAGTACCATGAAGGCTTCAAGCGCTTAAAGTGTCGTCGGGTACCACGCGACGTTGGTACATCGCGTCACATCCGAGACGAAGCTTGTCGGACATTGTATACGATCGACTCGCACGACTAAAGTGCGCCTGCGATGCCTGCGAAGCAGGATCAGGACGTGTTAATTAAGACCCACACCATATTGATTGTTTATGATGGTCATAGATTAGGCATCTAGGTGTTTGTTGTAGTGTGATAGACACATAGCCAACATACGATCTTATTACGCTAAAGAAAAAAAAGTTAAATCAAGAGAAGAGAAAGAAAAAAAAAAACAACAAAACTCTTGACACTGAAAAGAATGCACTCTCGGCGGGAGAGATTCTTCTTCGGGGTGATCATTGCACACATGCTCTCCCTCATGAACGCAATTACGTCATCACAATGACATCACATTCATTGTGCGCTCGCGTGAGCTAACATTTAGCCAGGTATACCAAGAGATGTTGTTTTCCCTCTGTCGATCAGTCAGCTGATCTTGGGTGGTTGTTAGGGCGCCAAAGACACCTGGATGCTTCCGGGTGTAGGAAGCTAACTTCTCGGGGCATCTCCCGCCAAAATTTACGTTGCGTAACAATGCGGAATGACGTGTGGGAAGTTATCTAACTTCCGTAAAATGAAAATGTATTTGTTGATTTATTTTCCAAGCGTGGGAATGTTGAAAAATTGAACTTTGGTTTGAGGTATATCAATGAATATTGTTCTAATTGTTTGTGGAATGATTTACTTCTTTTGGCGCAATTGGGGTAAAATTTATCAATTGCTTCGCAGTTTTGTGTATAGCGAGTGTGTATTGCGAGTTTATAAATAATTATGTTTTGATTTTACAAATATAAATTCACTAAATTTTACGTGATTAGATGTAAAACTTAATGTTATACAAATTTTGAAAACGCAACTTTCGTAACTTAGTGGTTTTTGTTAATAATTAATGAGTATTACTTCTTTGATATCTGCAGGCAAGAATTCAGTGAGTATAATACTGTTTATTCGAATTTAGTTTGGTAAACAAATGTGTTTGAGGTTTTTATTATTGTTGATTACGTGATGTTCAAATTGGATAGTGGATATTGGCGAAAACCGTAATGGTTGTAAATCATCAACGGGTATTTAAAAATTTAACGTTTAACGTATAACGTTTCACCACGCGGGCAATTGGCGATCGGTTATAATTAAGTTAGCAACGAGCGGAGCTGACCGTTAAAGACACAACGCTGAAAACAATCAAATTTCGATTCTATTCCTAACGAATTGCCAATTAACCTACTTTTCATAATTATACATAAATTTAAACACAAAAAGAAAATTCAAAAACACTTTTTCTGTTTAAAAAAAAAAATCAGCATTTCTTTTCTTTTCACAAAATAAAAATAAAAATTGATTAATTATAGGTACGATATTTAATTATTTGAAGGCCTAAAGCCTGTAACGAATTAAGATTCTTTCGAAATTTTACATCACAAACCAATTATTATTAAATTCCAACACATTCAACACAAATCAAAGAAATAAAAACCGTGTGTTTGTGTGGAAATGTTTTCAAGCACTAATTATCTCACAATTTTATTCACAGAAATAATTAAATATTTTACAATATGCGTGTGTTTATTAATTGGCAATGTTTATTTACAAGAGCATGTCAATGTTGAATAAATTTTCTTGTTGATTGATTGGATTAAAATCAAATTCATTCGCTTGTCTGCTCAATCAAAAGCGAATTGAATTTTAATGATAATTATCATATTTTCAAGATATACGCATTGACAAAAACAAATTGCAGTTAATTAGTCAATACGAAATTATATTTTTGTGCATAACATGCACACACACTTTTATTTCTTACTACTTGCCTGAGGAGTTTTTTGAAATTCCTTAATTTTTAACTCTCATCGCATTCCAGCGGCATTGGATGATGATAATTAATCCAGAAAGGCATTTATAATTGAAAAGCGGGTGGTGGTTAGAGTATTTTAATTGCCGACGTTCATGTGTCAATCAAGCATTCGTGATTACTGGAATTATCCGTTCGTCTCGTTTCGATTCCACCTTCATCTATCTCAGCGCATGTGTGTGTAATCATAGAAAATTTTACGTAGCGTGCGAGCGTTATTTACCGCGAGTATTTAGTTTAGCATTAGAAGAGAGTTGTTGGAGGTGAGGCGGCGGTTATTAAAGGCACTGTGCGGCGACCCGCTGCGCGCTTTTCGCTCCTTTTGTGATCCGCGCGCGCGTATTAAGAGCGCCGAGATTTTCCATCGCAATTAACTGCACCTAATTTGATGTTATGTAATTTATTAGAGAAAGATTCGGATGCGCTGCGGCGGGTTCAACGTTCATCAAGCAGTAGTAGGGCAGCTATGCTATTATGCAGTCGGTGGAATAAGAATAAGGGCCGCTGATTATTGTACTTTTGGTTTTAACCCTTTCTGAACTGTGTTTTGCCTTTTCAACATGCCAATTATCCATGAAAACTGAAACAATCATTTCGAATGTTTACTGCTCTAGAAAAATACATAAAATGTCAGACCCACGCAAAGCAGACTCTAATTTATTTATTCTACGGTGTGTATCGGGTAATTAATCAATGATTTTTCACTGTTGGTGCTATCGAATATTAAAATCTTCTGGTGTCGCAGCCGCTCAAATAGCAATTGACCTCGCTTCTATTCGTAAACGATTTCTTAATGTGTCAATTTCACCAGTCGATATCTGGAGGCAATTGATCAATTTACTACCAAACCACCCACTTAATTGAGAGCGCATACAGACGGTTTAAATTTTAACATGTCATTACACATGAAGCCTGTGTAGTAAGAAATGCGTCAATACGTGTGTTGTGAATCCAACACAAACGACAACATGTCACCGGAGGTCAAGGCTCGGAAGTGGGTGACGTCCGAGAGTTGACGTTATTTATAACTTTCAGGCTGGTCGCGCGTTTTCTACACAATCGACATTGGCTTACAAACGTCTCGTCGTCATTTCTGGTGTGATAACATGCAAATACAAATAAATCACATCAACTGCAATCAAAATCAAGTTTATCTCAATTTTATCACCGAGTGCATTGAATAATGTAACAATTTTATCAGTTGTGTGAGTGTTTATTTATTTTCTTCTCATAATAATCTACCCACATTTAATTAACCAAACGTGTGGTTGGTATTGAATCGATCTGCATTCGATAAAATTACCATAAATAATGGCGCGCATTATGGCCGCACTAATCGCTTGTTATTAATTAATTAGTTGTTCAAGCGCCACCATTTACGACAACTGCTCACCGGCGATTTTCTAACGGTTTCCGAACGGTAGTCGCTCTGTATCCATCGGTGGAAATAAATGAATATTCATTTTCACTTGCATCATAATCATAATTGTTAATTGTAAACGCAAAAATATTAAAAAACCCTAAGTGTATAGTGTAATTATGAAAATAAGACATAAAACTTTACTTAAACACTAATGCATACATAATTCTCATAATGTTTAATTAAAAATATTAAAAAAGCAAGTAATATCAGATTAGCACCTAATTTAAAACATTTGTAAGTTATAGAATGTACATGGTAGAGTTATAAAGTTCGATATGTTGGATGGTTGGGTTAGTAGTCGAGCGCGGCTGCAATAATTCAACAGTTCTTTATTAAAAGCAGCCGGTTGGTCAATGTTGGCACAATCTTAACGAAGAATAGCTACTTATTATACGCTTCTCTTATTTAGACATTAGTGTACGCTTGCCGCTTCTGAGTGCATGTTAGTGTGGAGTACTCGTGTGGTTATATAAAAGCGTAGCATTCGAGCGCTCGTTTTGTAATTAGCGATCTTGCTTTGCGTTTTGTATATGCACACACGTGAATACGTCGCTTGCATGCATATGTTGATGTAGTGTTGTTCCACGTATCTATGACAGTTCGTGTTTTCGTTTTTTCGAAATGAGTTTATTATATTTGATGGTAATTATTCCCTGGTTATAATTTATTGTTTTGTACGCAGGCGTAGTTATGCCGTGTTTTGATTAGTTAACACCGGTTGTTGTTAATAACTGGTTGTTTATTAAGTTTTACATGCATTGATGATCACATATATTCCTATTTTGTATGATAAGTGTGTAAAATTATAGTTTTAGCCACGATAACTTACATAAACTCACAAAAATGCTAAAATTTTAGTTTTTTTATGATAAATTTCTTGTGGAGCATTAAAAAAGTACTTTTACGCACCAGTGCTAAAAGATTCAACTTTATACACTTTAAATTACAGTAAAATTTTTAATTTTTCAATTTTTGTTTGGGGTTTTAATTTTGGGGTGGGTGAAACTGGTACTTTGTGTTACCATCTCACCCTAGTGGGGTTGTCCAATCCAGAAGTTCATAAACCACCCCTCGTTCAACCAAACTTGTGCAACTTGATGGTAGGTTATTATCATTCGCCTCGCGGTGTTGAACGTATCAGACGATTTTAGTGCGTTGAAATGTGGTGTTCAATTTTGAGTGAAGATTGTGCAGAACTTTCTTGAAAGCGATTTAATCAATACTTCCACAATCTGCAAAAGGTGAGTGCATTATCATCGATAAAATTCACGTGCGCAATGTGCACGGCCCAATTTAATTATAAAGAACGCGCGATTGAATGCGATTCCGACGCGATTAATTACATTTATTGAAGAAGCACCAGCCGAAAAAGACGATTGCGCATTGAGCGTGCAGAGATAAAGAGCGCGTAATGAATACTTTACGCGGACTCGCGCCACGATCAATTTGGTCATACAATGGCACAAGTTGAAGTGAATCGATACCGGAAATTGGCAAAATTACCGAAAAGCTGAGTGCATAGTGCATAATTCAGAGTAATAACAATTTCGCAATTATTCGTAATTTAATTTTTTGATATCATCGGCGTATAAAAAGTTTGAGTTAATGTTTATGATAAAGAATATAAAGAATATGTTCTTTAGGGGAAGTGGCTTTCCCACGAAGCAGTACTGTGACCCTTCGTAATATGAAATAAGAATAAGAATAAAGCAAACATGAGTCGTAAAAGTAAAAGTCGCTCTTCCCAGTTCCGATGTTGAGTTCCCCTTTGATAAATATTGCATTGTATTATTGTTGGAATGTCGGAAATATGTCGAGGGTACCAATACCCTCTCACTTATATAAATTGTGAATATTTGCAATGCTGTAAGCGCGAAAACAAACGAATGCAACTCACGACGCTAACAAATTGCAGGCGAATAAAGCTATATAAGCCGTGCATCCCGCCGTCCAATTAGTGTAAATGAGTGAATAAGTGTAAATATCCAAGGGATCGTGTCCGGCGCGGCTTCTCAAGAAGCCCACTCGTGATTCTATTGACCCGCGAGCGCAGGCGGCGAGATGCGCGCGGAAAACCGGTCCGGGCCGCGGTCAAATAGACTGGCGCGCGCGCGAGTGCGAGCGGCGCATGGAAGCAACAGGTGGAGGATCAGCGCGCTTGCCGGATGATGATCGCTATGGGCAAACGGGGGAAGCGCACCGCGTCGCACACCTTTCGCGCGCGGCGCGCTTCGCGAGCTGGTAGCGTGGTAGCGCGCCTGATCACGGCCGACGGTGAAGAGCGATCGCGGTGTTTGCGCGCGGCGTGTTCGCTCCTTCGCGGTCGTGTCGCCGCCGGCGCGGTCCTCCCACCGACGCGCGTTTATGCCGCCCTGCTAACGCTAGACTGTGTTTCGGCGCTCCGCGCTCGCAGGAATCCTGCGGAACGTTCCCGCAACTATTTTACAGCTTCAATAGAGAGCGTACGTAGGTACATCATACAAACATCATCACGTATTTTCTTAAAAATTAATTTTATTTTACCTTGTCGCGAATCATGCTGCGTTTAAGCCTAAAATAGTTTGTTTTATAGCCAGTAGATGTCGCACCCTACTTCCCTTTGTGTGAATTTTTGTTATCCTAGGTCCGCAAAAATGATTTCCTAACGTTTTGTGAACAAGAATTTATTTTCCGTGGGCTTAAATATTTATATTGATAGTTAATTAGAACCTCAATAAATAAAGCAGCGGCTGGAATTAGGAATGTGTACCGTTTGTAACAACACCCACTGTTTTACAACGCTCGTTACGACTTATGCTACTTAACCAACGAATCGATTTGCATTCGAAATCGAATCTAGTCCAACCAACGCGTGCTTTGGAAATTAATTTTCTGAATTAAACTTTAAAAAATCATAAATCATAAATTTTACAACTACAAAGATTATCAGTTAAAAAAACTGTAAAAATTCTGTAGATTTTAATTATACGGTTAAAATGAAAGTGAAACTTAAATTTATGTCCGTGAAAGGGTTGTAAATACAGCGGTCATAAATCCTCCACCCGATATCTCTCATTAGGCGCAGACAGTAGTACACACACCTATAGGGGTACGCGTTGTGCGCAACAAGAAGTCAAGTGTGCGGCTCAAAGGGGATGATGAATGTTGCGGGTGTGTTGACGTGCCGGCGTCACGCTGTGCGCGAGTCGCCGTGCTGGTCGATGCACCCGCTGCGCCAACACGGGGGTGTTGCGCGCTAACTGCCATTATTTACTACCCTCCGACGCGCTTAAACAACCCTATGTTATGTTATAGACTCTGCACGATGTGTGTGAATTTAAGCGCCGGTGATCAACAGGTTAACGCAAGCGAATCGTGTGTTGGTTGCATTTCGATTTTGATTTTCTTGCAGTGGAAGCGAAAAAATCTAAATATGCAAATGACCGAACGCAGATTAAATCTTCGACCGCTGTGAACATTAAACGTCTTCTTTATGAACTGGATAACGATCAAAGATTGAACATCTCTCTGTGTCGCGACTTCTTACAGTTTCTTACAGTTTCGTACAGTTGTTAGAGAGGCTTTATTGCCTTCCTGCATGTGACCCGATCGGATGCGCTTCGAACTGTCGCCAATTAAATTCCGAAACGTACTCGCATCGGAAGTTAATCGATTTTAATTAACGACGTTTGACTTGCAGATCAAACCATTCAACTGGAACCAAACAGACTTAATATTCCAGTTGAAAAATAAAATAAAACAATATTTTTGTTTAATATTTTTCACAAATACCAGACGTCAATACGAATGTTGCGTTATAGCATTCCATTGCATTCGATTTCTTTTTCTTTCTTATACACGTGTCCCGAGTGTACGTGTTGGCGTCGCGACTTGATTAATCTATTAACACCCCCGCGGTTTTAACAACACGCCATATTACAAGTCGTAAATTGAATTGAAAAATTTCTTGTCGGCATATATTACGCCATTACATATTCGTTTGCGTTGTGGAAAGCTTCTGTATCGGACATTGCGCAGACAGAACAAAAAAAACTTACAAATACAAACAGTTTGTAGGAATGACTTGGGCGCGTATAATTATAATGGTTATCGTTGACCATAAGTGATGAAAAATTTATTGGACAGCCAAGTCTACAGAAATACGAGTAAACGGACAATAGAATGAAAAGAAAATTTATTTAGGCGTAAAACAGTGGAAATACCTAATAACAGGGTTAGTTTGATTAATAAAATATCACTTAGGTGGTCATGTTTGTATTGTGTGTGGGTCACACTTAAATTTCTTAATTATTTACGTATTTTGTGTTGTTTATGCAACTTTTTATGCACGTCAGCGTGTAAAAATGCCTGCATTCCGTATTTTCTATCCTGGCTTCTATTTTCTATCAATTTGGCATTTAATGTTTCACCTGCTGTATAGAAGCAATGTTTGCGCGCGTGTGTCTCGTGTAAAAACCGTCTCGGGCTTTATGCGGCGCGCGTGCCACACATCGTACGATTTCAAAAGAAGCCAACAATGCGCACGAGACAGCCGCAGCGCTCGGCGTCTCGCAATGCGCCATTGAAGACGTCGATGGCACATCGCATTCAGCCCGCAGCTAACACAACACAACACGCATGATATCATATGTGCGCGCCTCTTTGGCGATGATAAAAGCGCAAGCGGTGCTCGCCCGCAAGACGGTTTGCGATGCTTCGGCGAGTTTCTTTGCGCAACTAACTCTCCATCTCCACCCTGTGGAGACGTATACAAGACGCACACATACGTGCACACACAGGCACGCATAATCTTTTAACTTGGTGCATTATGTGTGCTCTATTCATCGCACGTTCGAGCCCCATCTGTGTGTTTGCAACGCGCTGCTGGGCGTCCTTCAGTTGCATGTATATTCCTACCGATTGTCAATGATATATATCCGATCGGTATTGACCGCTGGTCAATGCGCCGTTTAGCACCCTTGTTTGTTGATTCTTGCCTTCAAATTGCAGCGAATGTTTAACAAATGTTTACGCGTTTCGCCCACGTTTTGTGGCGTTTGTTGACAAAGGGCACACGCATCGCTAGAGAAAAGGCGCCAAACTGCGATGAAATTGCCAGCACAATGCTACACGTGCCGGTGGTGGTCTGTTGTAACAACTGTAGATGTCCAGA